AAGAGAGAGAGAGAGAGAGAGAGAGAGAGAGAGAGAGAGAGAGAGAGAGAGTGCGTGTGTGTGCATTTACAGTGAAGGCCAATGATTCATCTCAACCAAATAAGGACATTTGCTGGGAACCAAAAGTCCCCAAAACATTTATCAGGGAAAGCCTAGAACGACTTCATTTCATGCATCGGTACATGCAGAGGAATTATCTTATTCTTCTAGTTGTTTATGCCATTTAAAGTGTCTTGAATTATATATGACATGCATTGTCCCTTAAAGAATTATACGCATTTGTGCAGGGCGAGCTCCATGGGTTAACCTGCGAGGTTCCCAGGGATGAATGAGATGCTGGCCTAATGGTTGGCCTTGAAAACCCCCACAACTTTCTGTTGCCTCTGAACAAACTTCTCCCTCAAGCAAAGCATTTTAAAATAATTATAAATTATTTAAGAATTGTATATAAACGTTTTGAATTAACATTTTACCTTTACCTTCATTGATTTACTGTGTTTCATCAAGTCTTTGCCTGCATGTTTGGCAAGTAAAGCTTTGATGATTATGATGTTGAAAAGTATTCCTGCCATATGAATTACATTTGTGCATGTTAAGCAAAATGACATTGTGTATGTTTGCATTTGTATTTTATTGACATTTAAATCAGGCAACTGCATGTAATACAGCAGCAGAATGAGGACAGTGAAATGTGCAACGTACGCTTTAAAGTTGTTACTTATCCCAATAAAGTGACTGTGCTTTATCTAGATTTTAGAACAATATAATGTGCCCAAGTCTTTCCTTGTAACTAACAATAAATCATATTTGATATATAAATGATTATTTCATGTTAGACTCCCAAAATGAAGCCCTAAAGGTGGTTTGAAACCCTTTTGAATTGATAGCTAAAAGGTCCAAATTCTCCTAAATGCATCGAGAAGCAACAGCCTTTTCAATGTGACTGTTACATTTCAACAAAGGTAATGAAGAAAACATAAAGAGGCAGAGAGAATGATTAAAGAGCTCACTACTCTAATTAATCTGCTCGTGTTAATGTAATTATGTATGGTTTCATGATTATTTTATTATTTTCAAACACTAAGAAACGTACCTGAAAGCAGCATAATATTCACTTTGTTAGATGATGAATGTTCTGCTCCCTGAATGTCTCTTTGCTCTTGGCTGCGCTCTCTTAGTTAGACAAAAAAAAAAAGTAAAAGTAGCCTACTCATTATGCCGATTGGTCCATTTCAGAATAATATGATAGTTCTGTTTATAATTAGGCCAATTAATGCATTATTATTATTATTGTTATTATTATTATTATTATTATTTATCAAGCTGGTCAAGTTTTAATTAATTTATACTGCAGAGTTGCTGGTGAATGTTACTCCAGGTGTAACTAAAGTATTATTTAAGTGTTGATCATATTTCATATGAGCTACTAATCCAGTAAAGTATCTCAGTCAGAACTGTACTGATATGATATACATGATTCTGAATCTGAATAATGAGTAGGCTACTTTTACTATTTGTACTTAAAGTATATTTTGATGCTATTACTTTTCTACTTGAGTAACATTGTGATTACAGTACTACTTTTACTTGTACCAGATATACGCCTACACACTCTGGTAGGCCTACTTCAAGTAACGCCAGTGAGGTATTTTTCTTCTGTAGCGAGTGGGGTATGTGTGTGTGACATGCGCACACACAGCCAGCAGCAGCAGAGACCCACCGTCAGGACACCGACTCACCGAGAGCATAGAGACCGACAGACGCCTCTCAGCGGCGGGGATGTGACAGAGAGAGGCTCGGAGGAGACGGAGGGTTGACACAGAGAATGCCACAGCAAGCCAACACGCTGCCTGCGTTAGCTCACCATTGTACTCAGCTTGCTGTAAAATATAAAGCGAGCAGCAGTGAGTCGTGATTGCATTTTTTTTTTGTTGCAAGGGGATCATCCTGCGTTAAACATCCTCCAGCCAGCATGCCTTCTGCTCAGAGCCTCCAGTCCAGCAGCATGCCCCTCTCTGAAACCAACATAGGTAGGTAGGTGTGTGTGCAAGGTCAGTCCTAGCAGGTTTTATCAATTAAATAATACACTCGGTAATTCCACAATGCGGAGGTTTCACTCAATGCTGAAAGGCTCACTTAATTGTGCCTACACACTTTTTAGACCACCCTTATTTGTTGTGTTTTCTTGGTAAGAAACACTAAAGGCATGTTTTTATTTTCACAGAACACTCGTTGCATCACCAGACAGTCTGTTGTTTTTTAAGTCCAGGCCGCAGCACGTCACTGCAGGTGCGGCGACGTTGAGTAACCACAGGAGCCTGAGACTGCCTGACAGACCATAGCGTGGTGTGAGGCTAACACCACTAACATTAACGGTATACAATGGTCTAGTTGTGTAGAGGAAAATCCCATTTTAAACATTTGTATTACAGTCCATGGCAGGTGATCAGTGACTACGTAGAATATCGTTGATTGTTTGGGTCAGTCTACTACACAGCTAATGGCAGCAACATCCATGTTTTGCTTTTCCAGCCAATGGAAAACCATTTAAGTCAATGTTATCAAAATATAAGTCTTTATAATGAGCAACCTTCTTTAAAGTATCTCAAATTAATGACTTGGTTTCTCAAAATAATGACTTGGTATTGCAAAAAAAGGATCATATAAGTTTCTAAAATAACGTTTTTTAAATAATAATTACACACTTGTTATATTGAGAATGTTTCTTATTATTTTGAGATCCATCCCATTATTTTAAGGTCTTACAAGATATTTTTTCTATTTCTTAATTTACTGGCAGAAAATGGCTCCCGTAGAACACTTCCTTGTACAACAATTATTGAGAAAGGTATGTAGTAATTTGCATTACTGTACTGGAGAGACATAGATGTGTTGGTGGTGTACTAATATTGAACAGATAATTTCACACAGATCATATGAAATCTGTTGCATGGGGTGTTTTCCAAAGATCTACTATAATAAAATGATTTGAGTAATTTATTAAACAGAAGATATCCTACTTACATGAGTAGTATTTGCTTCAAATCATAACTTAGTACCAGACACTGTACTTGTATGTTGAGGCCTCTGGTCTCAGTTAGAACTCCGAAAGTAATGAGCAAATGCATGCTTTTGAGTAAGAGCCAGATCAATTTTGTTTCAAACTGATATTGACAATCAGATAGTGTATATGAAGATTCAAAGTGGTTTCATTACATATGACATTTGACTTCAAAGCAAGGTTTGGATTATGTGGAAAGAAATGTGATATCATGGAAACACATAAACACAATTTAATTTCTCTAATGCAAAACAGCCCAATGGGTTCTTTCAATTAACTGTAATCTAGCATTTGAGAGCAGGAAATGAACCATGCAGTAGGAAATATTATTTACATTATACTTGTTATTATCATTTAAATCCCAGCCTGGCAAATCCTCCATACATGTCTAGATCATTAAATTCCGGAAGTTGTTGTTATGCTGGCACCCTGGGGAGAAAAACCTGATTGAAACCATTCGCTTTCCCTGCGCAGTGATTTTAGTTAAACAGGAAGTGATGAAAATACATGCAATAGATAATCAGTGGGACCTTACTCCTCAGAATCTGCTGAAACAAATGCATCAGTAAAGTCATTAAAAAGACTGCAATGAGGGGCCACTCCCTTCCCCCTCTCTTCTGCTTGTAATCTTTGACTGACTTGAATATTGTCAGAGATGATATCCTGCAGCTCTCTGAGGAAATAGCATTACACAGGAGTTTTAGGTTCAGTGGTTTTAGAAGAAGTACATTTGTCGAGGCTTATCAACCCTTGAATGGTTGTCTTTGTAGTTTAATATGCATATTCAATATGTTGTGGTTCTTTTACTTCTGACTTGCAAACCTCTCACACTGGGTATAGTATTTGATATGTGCTTGATGCTTTTTTGTTGAAATTGAAACCGTTCTTATGTAAATGAGGCCCCTAAAAGTATTCACTCTTATTTTGACTTTCCACAAAACGGACTTAATACGAGCACATGTAACAAAGGTTGTCAAACAGCAAGACTTAAGTCAATTATTTTGGTAGATGATTATCCTCTCAATGGTGTAAGGACACTTCTAGTTAAGGTTCAGGTATTTTGTTTAATTTATTTAGTTCATCACAGGCATCTTTATGCCTCTGCATTTTTACCGGGCTTCATCATAGAGGTTTCTTTCCCTTGTGTCTGTGAATGTCTGCGAGACACTAATTACAACAAATTGATAATGGTAAATAATAAAGTAAGTGTTTTCACATGATGCAGATTTGTTTAGTCTTTCCCTAAAAGATATACATAGTGTATACATTTGCCTTTTTGCAAAAAGCAGCATACACCCAGATGCCCTAATTTCCAGGTTCAAATGTGTATTGTGTGTCTCTACTGTGACATGCTTACATGCTTTAATGTTCAAAAAACTCTTTATTTTTCTCATACTGCCTGTGCTGCAGCACCTCTTTTCACCCTCTGTCTGAAACCAGAGCCCAGTCTGCTATGATTTGTTGGCTGGCCGGCTCTGTTGTGATTGGCCAACAGCTTAGAGATGTTCCCGCCCCCTAGCCTATCACGTACAATGTGATGGAGAGCTAGCCAATAGAAATGCAAGTGTCACAAAGTGATGTCACTATGTTATGGAAGTAAACAAAGGAGTATAATGAGGCGTTTCACACAGGGAGGAAACTTTTGGGTTTTAGCCTTTGCAGACCATTTACATGCTAAAGAACCTATAAAATACACTAGAGGAAAAGGGAAAACCCCAAAAAGCACGATATAGGGCCTCTTTAACGGAATTACGACTATAGTCTTTAACTACTTTCTAGTGCAGCTTGATTTATGAATTTCTCATCTCTTTACTGTTCACATCACAGCAGTAATGTTTGCTGATTTGTCGTCTTTAGGTACCTTTAAGAGGAGGAAGAGGAAATCCATAATAGTGACGGTGTTGCTGCTCATTGTGTCTGTGCTCATCCTCATCTTCGGCCTGGCAGCGACCACTAGGACGCAGAACATCACAGTGGGCGGCTACTACCCAGGAGTCATAGTGAGTAGTACACACCTGAATGCAACCGCTGCCTGTCTCCGGTGATACTGAGCGGGGTGTGAGAGAAGAGAGGGAGTTTTCAGACTGCTCTTCCCGCTCGTGATGAACCTAATTACTGAAGGTCTGTGATGGGTGACTCCCGACATTCATTATTCAGCACTGTGATTACGAGCTAAGTGAAGCAAAGCATCTCAGTCCATAAATGTGTTTTCCTCACAGAACTCGGCTTTTAGCGTTGGGCCTAAAGTGAAGAGCAATCAGGGAAGCAGCCTGCTACATTTCTAATGATGCTCCTTCTGACTTCAACCTTAAATTCATAGTTTCAATTATTGACGTCTGCTGTAAAGAGCAGAGATTTAGAAAACATGCATTCTGTTTATCTGTATGAGACGGTTTTCTTTTTCATTTCTGAAATGTTATCCATGGCATGAAAGAAACACCTACTTAGTTTATCTCAATAGGCTACAGAATCAAAGCTTTATATTAAAATCTGATAAATGTTAGGGGGTTAAATCACAAGTTCTATAAGGATATTTTCTAACATGAGTCTGCAAAAAACGATTTTGATTCAGGAGCCTTCGATCGATATGAGGCAATATCACATGCCCTTTAAACATTAACAGTTACATTCGTATCAACTCGCAAACTTAAATACGATTTTACAATTTTATTTCTGGACTCAACAATCTATTCTTTAAAAGAAAAACAATCTCTCTTGTCTTTCTTTATCAGTTCAAAAAACACATGTTTAAAATCTTTACACATCCATTTTCCTTTAAAAAATAAAAAAATAAATCAAGGATTACTCCAGACAGCTGCAAGATAAATGGCTCTATTAAAATGATGTCTTTTTGAATGGTTATTTAAAACTATCCACTGAGTCAGAAAGAGACTAACTACTCAAGTGGGTATCCCCAAATGTTTTTGTGGTGACCTCAGGGACAATTACAAGAGCAGCTGTGGAGGATCTGAGGGTTTCTGGAGGATCATAAAACGATAGGGAGCCTGGGAGATAAGAGGGGGGGGAAAAGCCATTTAGTGTCCTAATAAACTAAGAAATGGACTAAAAATAAATTCTAAAAGAAACAGGGGGCCAGAGTGGGTTGTCCGAAAGTTTAGAGGTATAGATCTCTCATTTTAGATAAACACCACTCTCTGATCTGGAAGAAACTGGTCAGATGGATTCAGGTGCAGTGGAACGGGGTTAATCAATACGCAAACAAGTACTCAGTACAAGTCAACAATACAAACCCTGACTGTGTTTGTGGTCTTCCTTTATTGCCCCATATTTGCTTATATTCATATCGTATATATTGGTCTCATGGGTACAGTGATATGTTCCTCCTATCATCTTACAGTTTGTTTTGGTGTTAGGGTCACAGGGACATTTTCATACAGTTTATTTTGATTCAGCAGTTTTTGTTGTTGTGTAACATTGCTCAATACCCTTGACAGCTGCTACTATTACAGTGATACTTTTGTTATTCTACTACATTGATTTTGTTAAAGACTCGGCGTCAGCCTAATGAAGGTTTGTAGTTTTCCAATGAGTGTTGTTGGTCGGCCAGTATAAAGAGTGTTACAGTGTTATAGTGTTGCATCCTGTTAGCTTAGTGGAGGGCTCAGCTTCAATATGTTGCGCAAATGATAACAGTAGTTTGGGTCAATGAATTCAATTGAGCTTTTCTGTATTTATTTTAGAAAAATATGGAACAAGCAACCTTTAAACATTAAACTTGCGGACTTAGAAATCAGGGCTTATCTTAAATACGATGATGTACAGCTGTATTTACTTGATGAATTAATGATTTTGGATTGTTGTTTATTGTATCTACATATATATCTGTATAAATCCAGATCGATGTATCAATAAACTTCGCTTTTTTCACTGTTTTTCAGCTGGGCTTTGGTTCTTTTCTGGGAATCATCGGCGCTCATTTGATAGACAACAAGAGGCAGATGGTAAGAGGATTTATATTACCTTTTCCTTGTCTGGACTGTTACAGAAAACTATCATTAAACTGCGTCTCAGTCCCAATTACCCTACGACCTGATTATGTTGTTATTGGGGTGACAGACAGAGAGGCTCTGAGTCCCTCTTGGCCTGAGGCGGTTTGCGTAGCGGAGCCTGGGCTTCAAGGGAGATGCAGACAGAAATAGCTACAGGGTGTAAGCTGAGGAGGACAGATGCCCACACAGGAATGTGGGGAAGGAAACTGCAGATGAGGGGAGCAGGTGGGAGGTGTGGGGTGGGGACTGTCAGGGCTCAAATGAATGATGAGTTTGTACCGCGACACCTTTACCGTAACGCAGCAGAGTTCAGATGGCTGAGTCCCACAACTGACCCAGCTACGACACCTTACACCTGCCCACTGCCCACTGCCCACTGATTATTCCTTATCGCATTTTACTATACATAATATAATGTGTTGAAATAGTTTATGGGTCGGGCTAGTATAGCCAATTTGTTTTTAGATTATTCCAGTTGTTGCAGAGCTAAAATGTTGAGTAAGTAGCAACTATTTTGGTAATCTATTTATAATTTTTTAAGGACAAATCCCAGACATTCACTGCTCACAGCCTCTCAAGTGTCAATATGTACTGGTTTTCTTCATTTGTTATCATAGTAAAATGAAATTTGTCTGAAACTTTTAGACTGTTGTATATAACACTCTCTGATGAATAGTATACTGATGGACATTTATCTGTATTTTAGGTTTAAAATTAAACATTATAGTAAGATAAGGTTAAATTATTCAACACATCTATAGGGAGTATTGCTTTATCATCCCGGGTCAGTTAGATTTGATCAAATTTAACTGACTTTAATTCAAATGTTGCTAAATGCCTGATGCCTCATTACCGCTTGAATTCAATCCAGTAAGAAAAGCACAGAACAAAATAACAGACATTCTTTCAATTAAAAAGGCTAAAACCATTCTGACTCTTTGACACTGATTCTGAATGACAAGATAGAGGGAGAAGCTAAGAAGAAAAACACCCACAAACCTTTATCCCATCACAAATGTCTCTTTCTAAATCATTTGCCGCTGAATGCATTCATGTGAGCGTCACAGAAACCTTGGCGCCGGACAACAACCCGGTTACCTCGAGGTGTCGGATGTTTTGTGTCAGCTTCAGAGAGGGTGGGCTAATGTGTAAGTGAATACATACCGCTTTCATTGAGGAGTGAAAGGAGAGAGTTAGGCGGATGGGGAGAAAGGGGGGAAATAAGTGTTCGGACTTCCTTTTAAGAGCCGGGCAGCGTGCCAGGCTCTAACACTACTGCTGCAACTAGGTGACCAGCTCAGCACTCCGTCACTGTTGTCCTCTCCAACAGCCCCCAACCCCCCCCACCCCATCCCATTCAGAGCTATTCATACTCAGAGAGCAGCACATGGGCAATATGATACAGGTTACTGTTGGAAGGGAATCCGATACAAAAGTGGTGAGTGGAAGCAATTACAAAATCAAAGTGGTGCCTGTTAGAGCTCCAACGAAAAAGACAACAAAAAAATTGCCAAATATTTCAATAACTGTTCATTTGGTTGAGTCATTGTTCATGTAAAAAGGGCTGTAATGCTGCTTTGAGCTTCTTATAAATGGAGATTTTCAGCTTTTCTCTATTATATCTTATTGGCCTGCATACCTTTTGAGTTTTGAAACGACTAAACGAAACATTTAAAGACATCACATTGGACTTGAAGCTGGCATTGGAATGTTTTCTGACATTTTCATGACCAAACAATATCAATAGCTGGCAGTGCCTAAAATGGAGTTTATAGTCTTCTGTGACAAAGAGAATCATAACCTTGTGATGAAGAGTGATGAAGAGCTGCTGTTTTCTTCCACAGTTAGTGGCGTCTATTGTCTTCATTAGTTTCGGGGTAGTGGCCGCCTTCTGCTGTGCTATTGTTGACGGAGTGTTTGCTGCCAGGCACATTGTAAGTATCACTAAAGCTTCTTCTTATTTAACCAAACTGATAAATGATGAATGTGGATAACACTCACTGTCCGACTAATCAATGCCATCCCCATTGAAGCTTAATATACTCTGTCTGCATTACACATAGATTAAAACGAGGGCATTGCTCACATATGGCCGTCTGTAGAAGAGGCTGCACCCTTCTTAGCAAGGGAAATATCTTTAGTGGTTGAGAGATATTACTCTCCATGACGCAAGAACTCGAAACAATAAATAACCACTAATGCACTCTTGAAACAATTATGTTAAAATAAGTTATGGCTTTTCAAATAGGGGGATCGGCAGGTTTTTTATTTGCCAGTGACGTCAGTGAAATGGAGAATTGGATATTTATTTTCAGACATTTGTTTGTAAACAGAGCTGCAAAGAGGCCCAGTGTTGCAATGAATATGATGTGATGCTCTCAGAGGAATACATTCAGATTTTTTTTTTCTCTCTATTTGTTGCATTTATCTACATTATTGATGTTGCTTTAATATGCATTTGTATCATAGACTGTATATATGGTTTGTACCAGTGATGAATTGTGCAGTGAAATCTAAAGAATATTGTTTATTGTACTACAGGACCTCAGGCCGCTGTACGCCGGCCGCTGTGAGTTTCACTCCAGTGAGACTTCCTCTGAACGAGACGTAAGACAAATATTTCGCTTTCTATTTACAGAAATCAAATGCATCCTCAGTGTGTGTGTGGGGAATGAAGTGTCATAAGTCAACCTTAAGTGAAAAGACTAATCATTTGAATTTAACTTTTGACCCTCAGGTGCCCTGTCAGACCTCCTCACGCTCCCCCTGTAACCTGCATGTGAAGGGCAACACCTGTTTCTGCTGCGACCTCTACAACTGCGGGAAGTGAGTACACCAAACAGCCTCTCCATCACTGGCTCCTCACTTTGCTGTGTTGCTTTGACTGTTTGGATTTTTGACGTGTGCTGATGTGCCATTTTTGTGGGAAATTCTTTTGCACTGCAACGTTGATTGTATGAGAACAAGTATATGTTTCTTCCCTTTCAACCTTTGTTTCAGAGAACATCCTCTTATGGGACTTCAGAATAAAGATGTATTGAAAAAGTTTAGGAAATCATCCATGATTTGGAAGTAGGTCCCTTTTTTTCTAGAACCATATTGGCCATTAATGATCAACTCATGTTTTTCATTTTCTCGACACGTGATTGGAGTAACTGTGTAGTGTGTCAGTGACATGACTGACTTATGTAATATGTGTTTAGGATCCCATTTCCCCTGCATGTCATGTTTCGCGTCTGACAAAGCTAAACATGTAAACATTTAATGTCATGATTATTGTTGTCCAAATATATGCTTTTCACAAAATGTTCATACTCTTATTACATTGAGTAAGGAAGCATATATTATTATTGCATCACAGATAGAATAACTTGTGAATATCTGTTTTAGTAAAAAAGTAATTAAGAATAAAGGAATCATAAGGTTTCTTTGCATGAATAAACAGCAACATTATTAGTCTAATCCTTTTTACATATGTCCTGTGTAATAGTATAATAGTGATCTTGACAGCTTTTTCAATAAATCATGAGAATAATCACAACTATCTCAATATTAAAATCCATTACAGTCAGCGTAATGTGAGGGTTTTTTATTACGATAATGATCAAACCATATATCTTCCCACTCTTAAACACCCACCATGTCTTCTGTCCTTAGCTCTCATAGACTCATTTGTTTCTATAAATCAAAACCTACTGTTTGTCTTTCATCTTGCCCTGAACACAACAAGCCATAACACTTTCTCTGTGACTTGTGTGGCTTGACTGTATGCCCCCTCTCTGTTCCGCCCACTGGGCTAGCCGAGTGGAGCTCATTGGAGGCTACCATGAGTACACGGATGTGAAGAGCTGCCAGGACGTGGTGCACCTCTATCACTTGCTGTGGTCCGCTACGATCCTCAACATCGTGGCGCTCTTTCTGGGCATCATCACTGCTGCAGTGCTGGGAGGCTTCAAAGACATGGTGGGTACATGTACTGCATTCATGTGGTGTCAGAATAATTGGAAAATGTGTCCCAGACTGTGATAATTCACATGAAAGCCCCCTTCAAAAAGTTATTAAGATTTCACTTATTGCACCGCATATCACATTTTTTGCTCATATGTAATTCGGAACATGGTTTTAGGTTTTAGCGGTCTGTTGCTGTCCAAGTATCTACATGTAATGTGAAGCAACAGTTTAATGGTTTTAGGGAATATACTGGTGCAGCAACAAGTCTGAGACAAAAAAACAAAACATGTTCTTCCACATTAAAACTAAAAGCTCATAAACACACGAACGTCGGTAGAACAACTAACTACTACTAACTGACCATCCAAGGTGCACATTGAAGGCAGCATTATATTTGAGATTTGATTATGAACAACTGGGCTCAAATTCTGCTTTAAGTGTTTGTTCTAATGGGTTTTTGTTTTGTAATCCTCTGGTGTTTGAATTAATGGAAACTGATCAATACTCTTCATGTCCTTGTCAGACTCCGGCTCCTGCCTCAGAGTCTACATCTGAGCCTGAAGCCGTCACAGCTCCAGCCCCCCCTCAGCCTCGTCCCCCCACCACCTCCCTCACCTCGTACAACAACACTGCCCCCTGCCTGCCGCCGTACACCGCCTACGACCTGCAGGTACAGGTACGGCTACAGACCTGCACTGCTGGTCTTCATTAACATGAAGTGGTTCTCTGGGGCGGGTGGGGGGGGGGGGTTACAGTGTTCCTGTAACACTGTGCTTCGGCCCCCTGCAAAATAACAAATCTATGATGATGCAATTTGTAATAGTGTTGCAACCTGGGCCTAAGAAAAAGGAAGGTTTTTTTTATTATGTAATTAAATAAATTAAAACTAAGTTACTGAAGCAAATTCTATTACTAAAACAAATACCAACAAAGAAATAAAATAAAGTGTTTATTACCCCAACTGCATTAGTGACAATGGTAAATTAAGTAACTAAACAAAGATTGCAACTCAATCAATGACACCAATTATGTTATTAAAACAAAAAACAATAATACTTCCTTTGTGCGCTATAACTTTATACTACTTGTTTAAATCTTGACTACTGTCTTTGTCTCCCTTGTCCAGCATTACATTTGCCCCTCTCATTCAATAACTGGCCCCAGCAGAGCCCCCCCCCCCCAACCCTGTCAAACTTCAGTTTTTTAAATAAGGAAACCTACAAACAACTGTTACTCTGTGCGTCCTTCAAAAAACCTAAAAAAGAGCTTTGAATGTAAAAATGGAAACTGAAACAGGTAATTCTAATAAATGTCCTTCCTGCAGGGCTCCTACCTGTTCCCCGACTCCTCCACCCTGTCGGATGACTCCCAGTCGGGGGCCAGCCACCTGTGGCCCACCATGGTCCCTCCACGATACTCTCCTCCTCACACCCACCCCGACGAGAAGCCTCCACCCTACAGCCCGTAACACACATCCAGCAGAAAGAAGGCACCTGGAACTTTAGCGGGTGTTTTTCAGATGCTGATTGAGTGGCGTGAATGCACATTTCCTCTGGGCTTTTCCTCAAAATGAGTGTTGGAGGAAAGGTGGTGAGGAAGGCCACAGAGGGAACTCACCTTGAGTTCAGCCCGACACCAGGAGGGTTTGCCGCCCCTGCCTCCACTCACACATCAAGAGAGACCACCGGTCCACATATCTATCTGCCTTAATGCAAACGGGCTTCCAGCGCTGCAGCTCTGGGTCTCTGGACTTATTCTGTACTAGGTCAAAGTTCACCTCTCTTCGGGACATATTGTAAATGCTTCCTGCCTCAAGTGGCACCGATGATAACGTGAGGAGATGACAGCAACAAGATCAAACCTGATACATGAATGCTTTTGATGTCCCCCCAGAATATGAATCAGCTAGAGAATTCAAAACTGTAGTAGGTCCAGGCAGTTTCTTCTTTAGCGATTAATTAGGCAATGATAGCAGTAATGAAGGAATTACAATGCTCATAATGAATGTACAGCAGTATGATACTCAGATGCTCTCCAGCAGTTTAGCTATTCAAACAGGTGATGAGTTTGTTAAAAAAAAACAACCTTGAACCATGTGCTCGCAGAGTAACTAGATGAAGAAATAAGCTATTCTGCAGTAGGGCGGTCACAGTTACACTCCAAACTATTTATTCTATTTTCACTATATGCTGCAAAGCAGGTAAGCGTATATTATCTTGCGCTATATAAGTAGTTGTGATATCACATCTGAGTTCAAATGTGTAGTCTCTGTCAGGAATAAACACGAGGCAGGCCGAGCGGGAACAGTCGGTGCTGGATTCGCTGACATGAGGGAGATCATGAAGGGTCAAAGGACTGGTGTTCTCTGAGGAAGAGTGAAGGACAGTAAACTTAGTCCATGTCAATGAGATAGGTCTCCGTCAGCTGTTATCACTGCTTTTTATAATTTTAACTACTCTCAGGGGCTGATTGTCAGTTCCTTTTCGTCTTACCAGTAAAAATGTTTTATGTAATTCAAATGGTGCGTTTGACTTTTTAGCTAAAGTGTGTGCACGGTTGCTTCACCACTTTAGTCTTTACCAAACATATACACTTTAATAAGATAAACCATAGTGCAGTGAGTGCACCGAGGGTGAATCCTGTTTACTTCAGTCATCCCAACTTTCCTCTTGTGTAACCATGATGTTTGATGGTTTGCCATGACAACTTGATGCAGCCATTAATGTCATTTTTCTAATCTTAAAACTTTTGATAAATTGATGATAGTTCAGCTTTCCACATATCAAGTTGATTTTTTCTTTGCAAACCTTGTTTTATGACCAAATGCCTGACGCCTATTGTATGCGCTAACAGCCATTGATAGCATGCTAAATGATGGATGTTTGTTAAGGAAACTTAAAACCTGTTAAAAATCTGAATGTTAGCATTTATGAGTACGACCTCTGAGCCAGTAGCATGGCTGTTGACTTCTAATTGTATTACATTGTGAAATTGAAAAGGGTGTAACTAGCATTAGGTTTGAGAAGTTCATACTTTTTCAACAGAGACTAGTCAAGTTTTGAGAAAGTCCATCCATTTCCTTAAGTCTAACACATTGAAAATCTAAAAATGTTTTCAATCTTTGATATAAACCAGACAATGGAATATTTAGAAACATTTAAAAACACAGGGAGTTGACATAATTAATAATAAAGAAGGAATGTTTAAGATTCTGCACTATTCCTCCTTGAGCATTTGCTCTTAACTCTTCCAACATCTTCTGGAGCTTCATAGATATGTTTTTGTATCATGTGACACGTGATATATTTTACTCTCAGCATTGTGACAAAGACGAAGTGACAGTTTGTATGATTTTCATTTCGTACATCACAATAACAACCGTATAGCAGATGTTTGTATGCTTACGTAGTGCAAGACAATTAAGTGAAAATAGTAAAAGAATAATTTATTTATCATCAGGAAACCCCTTGTTGCTAATTGACAGAAAAGGGACATTTTTGTACAATGCCAACAGAACTGATTATTTAATATCCATTTCATTTTATCAACAACTATGAACCTAAAAGATACGTCAGACAGTATTAAAAAAAAGTATGAAAAAGACATGAACACAAATGCACTGTACATCAAATGCCAATGTTAATGTGTTAATTAAAAGAGTCCTGCTTGATTTTATTGAATGACATGAATAGATAGATTTTATTGTTAGCACTATTGATCACTACATTTTGACACGATGGGAAAAAAAGTTAAAAAGTCCAAATGTGAAAAAGAAATCTGCCTGATGCAACACGAAGTGCTTTATGTCTGGATTAAATAATATCAACCACATTTGTTTGCAAAAGCTGTCGCCTACACATTGTAGACGGCAGATATTAGCATCAAAAAACAAGGAAGGACAGGAATTGGGAATAAAAATGTACAGGTGTATCAAAATAAAACAGGTGTTCAATGGAAATGTCCAAATTGCGTTTAAATTATCATTGTATAACTTCCCTGCCACAATATCCACAAGTGGGATTGCCAACAATCACAATGAAAAAATATATTTCAGATCAAAATTATCATTTCTCTTTGCATTATTCCCATATTGGAATAAGGAGTGATGTTGAATGTCCATTTCAAACTCATGATCAATGCATCAGTTGATGAGGGTTTTAAAATGTTAGCAGCCTTGTTTTATTTCATTACGAGTCACATCCTGTATTTTACAAAAATGTGTTGAAACCGCTAAAGAGCATTATATGCATCCTTTGAAAATCCTGGTTACACACTACAGGATTTAGGTTTCATATATTTAAATAGGTAAAACCGAATTTATATTTTATAAAATGGAGCTCAGTGGGGTGCCTAATGTTGGAAACTGATCTAGAATAGTAAAAACATCACTGTAATAAGAGAATGCTTTTATTGCAGCTAGTGTGTGATGCCTTCATTTCTGGGGCAACTTTTCAATCCTGCATGAAAATGTTAGCATCCATATCAACTATTGCCGTTGTGATTTTACTGCGTGCGAACCACTATCATTATTTGTAATGATAAAAAAAGACAGATTAAAAAGGCAGAGAAACAGGAGTAAAGATTTGGTCACATTGCTTTTCCGTCCTAAAACTACTCGCTTCGTCTCCTTTTCACTTCAACAAGGAGGGACAAATTCAAGAAATCTCCAGCTGGCTCTGGCAGATGCACAGATCAGTCACTGCGCAGCACATTATTCTAACATGTATTAGCATCATTAGTACTATATTTAACCACAAAATTAATTCAAAGGAAAGGCTAATGTGACCGTAGGTTATTCCGATACTATTGAGAATTACAGATTCATATTGTTGACCTGGAAAAAGGTTATGGGGTACCCTTTAAAAAGGCACATGTAATGGAGCAGCGGGGGTTGCTCAGTAGCTCTCTGGTATAACAAAGTCAAACTCTGTGGCTCCCGGTGGAGGAGAGTTCACGGCTGACCCCCGGCGGGTGTGAGCATCGGGCGGCATGCGAGTGTCGGGCTCGATAAAGATGTCGTTCCAGTCCAACATCCTGGTCTGAGTGGAGGAGTGCACGTCCTCGCTGGTGATGTGATGCAAGCTGCCGTCCTCCGATATAACCGGGACTCCTTCCTGGCCGTCGTTACTCCACGAGTACGACTTCATCTGCACCGTCTTACACGGCAGGAGGCGGTACAAGTTGTTGTCCGTCTCGTCTTTCTCCTTCCTGCCACTGGGATCCTGGTTGTGCGCATGCTTGCAGTGTGTGGACAGTAACTGGTAGTTCACGAACATGTCGTTGCAAATCAGGCACTGGTACCTGCGCTCTCCTGTGTGGTGGATTTCATGTTTAGTTCTGTACTCGGCCAGTGCAAACACCTTGTTGCAGTAGTGGCACGGGTACTTCTTTTCCCAAGAGTGAGTGTTGAAGTGACGGCGCAGACTCGTCAGACACACGTAGGGCCGCTTGCAGACGATGCAGACGAAAAAAGTCTTCCCGTCCATGATCAGCTCGTAGTGGTCCTCCAGCTCTGTCTTGCACTTCTTCTTGTTGGGGCCGGACTTTGGTGAAAGGGGTATTTCATCAAAGGTTTTCAAAGGTGTTGCCATTAATGCTCTCTTCCCTTTATTCACTTTAGAGCCTCCTTCACCTGGATCCTCCTTCACTGGGACAATGTCGTAAGTATTTTCTCCAATATTGGCGTAGACTTTACACCCGGATGAAATTGAATCGATCTCCGTGGCTGTGTTGAGCGTGACTGTCTTTTTTGCGGCTACAGCTGATTTGGAATTGTTGGTTTTATTTGACTGGCCATCAGACACGTCTACGATCTTTATTTTGAAATCCCCTTGCTTTGGCGAGGCAGAAACTTGTTTCCTTTGGACGCCTATTATTTCACTGCTTTCAGAGGTCTGGGAGGCACTCGTGTGCTCAGGGGTGACGCTTGACCTGGCGGGCGTTGTGAGAACATTTCCTGAGAAATGTCTGGCAGGAGAGGATGAGCTGTTGGTGGAGCTGTTGGTGGAGCTACTGGTGGAGCTACTGGCGGAGCTGCTGTTGGAGCTGCTGTCTGGACTGCGCAGAGGGCTGCTGATGGGAATAACGGGTGATGGACAACTGATGCCGAGAGGCTTTGCAGCGATGATTTTAACGGGGGCTCTGGCTTTCTCGATTGATTCCTCATTTTGCTTTGATGCTGCTTTTCCTGTATCTGCTGCTTTTCCTAAATCTGCTGCTTCCAAATCAATAATCTCTGAGTTGGCTGTCTGATTGGCTGCTCTGGTTTGAGCATCCGTTTGTGAGACAAACATAACATCTCCGTCCGAGTCCTCGTCGTTACCCGCTGACTTGCTCGCCTGGTTGAATTCCTCTGAAGATATGGAGAAAGACTCTGAGATGACGGGCATCACCTCTGGAGGAGTGTCACTCTTGCTCCCCGTCTCCTTAGACAAACCAGGAAGACCCTTAACTTGTGATAAAGGGGATCCCAAGTTAGCAATGAACTTGACTCCCAGAATTTGTCCAGCACTGATGAGATCCTCCAGCATGTCGGAGCGGACACGGACAATCTTGGAGCTGTAAATGTAATTGAGAATCTGCTCAAAGATTTCCGCTCTGATGAAGTTTAACTCGATCACTTGTCCAGCGACACTGAAGAGCTGGTGGAAGTACGTACTGGAGGCAGACAGGATTGTTTTGTGAGCCCTGAACTTCTTGTCCTGTATGATAATGGTGACATCACAAAATAATCCATGGTTTCGCTGCTCGTTCATCGATTTCAGCACAGTTGCTGAATACTGTGTGTCGGTCGCAGTTATCAGCTTCAGACTTCGCATGGCTGTGGAAAGGAAAGAAACAAATTAGAATCTAATTTTCTTAAGTGCACATCAACAGTTACATCATAAAATGACGGTGAAGGAGAGAATACCATTTGACGCTTCTTCAAAAAATATAGGTGTGGCTCAAATTCAATGTTAGTCATATCCTGTCATATCCTGCTTTTCCAGTTCAACTTTTCCTTTTCAACTAACTGACACACTGGAAGTCAATCAGTAAACAATTCCAGATAATTATTGTGTTTGTGCAATACTGAATGTTACACAGTTTCCAAAGTATTAGCTTGCTTTAAGTTGTTGAATCGTTGTGTATCCACTGAGAAGTGTTTCTATAAAGCCTGAACAATAGATTTTGAGGTCACTATCAATTTGAGTAAAAAACTCTGGTAGACAAACTGTCACAGTGACACTTTAATCTAAAATATGTATAAGTCTTTTCTGTGCTAAAGTGTCTTACTTTATTGTCTTTAGTGTCTAACTTATCTGTACAACAAGCTAATACCTAGTCTTCTTCCTGCACTAACATAAATGGGTTGGACAACATTTTGGGAGAAAGTTGCTCAGCATAACACTTCTAAGCAGCATCACAAACTATGGGCTTCAAAATCACCATAAAGTCGTACCAAAATATTATTAACAAAACTTCATGAAGCCACGCAGGGTTGTGCTTTAACTTCACAATGTAAACCATTACACAATTTCATAAATTGAACAGCTCTTACTTTATTTCAGATATACTATACGTTTTTACATTTTAAAATACTTAAACATCTTTTCACAATATTCATTTCATATGTTTATTGTTATGTCATTACATTATTACTTATGTTTTGTGGTATTTTATTTTTGAACAAAATTTGAATTTCATTTTCTCTTACATTTATTGATGCGTGTATTGTCTTTTTGTATGTGATATGGACCTTGAGTCTGAAATAAAGATTGATTATGCGATAATCCAAAATCATTGCAAGTGACCCAATAATACACTTTATTCTGATTGAATCTGGCTGCTGTTATGGAACAATTACACAATGATTATATATAGAAACATACTTTCAGTTCCCGAAAAGCTGTGTTTTAGCCTTTGATGCTTCAATTATATATGTTAGTGAACAATAACGTCACCTTCGCTTACGTCAAAGTTGTAGAAACTACATTAAATATAAACCTCGCATGCCACTGCACGGCTTAAGAACACAGTTTATTACACTTTAATGGGTATAATAGCTGGTTTGGTGTATCCATTATGTGTTTAAAGTAATATTGAAATGCATTAGATAGATGGCGAACAAAGGTAAAGCTGCTTCCTCATAATGAGAAGCGCGGCCTCCTGTTTAGCATCCTGTTAGCATGCTAGCTTCAAACACAACAACAATGAATGCGTGAAATCTTGCAACATTAAATAACTGCACATAAAAAGGCTTATGTTTACCTGCAACCCTGTTGTTTTCTGCCAAGATAAAGCAAGACTACTACCCCCGGCTGCAGTAATTTAGCTAGCTAATGACACAATGGCCAACAACAGACAGCTCTCCCTACAGCTGTAGCATCACTGACCGGCAGCCGCAAGGGGGCGCCATCGCGTGGTTTTAACTACAAACACTGCATAATTTAGAATAAAATAAAACTACACGATATCATGAAAATAAAAGATGTATTTAGTAATTGTAAAAAGAAGAATTAATTAGTGCCTGGACGTAGTTTCAGAAATAAATGTTTAAATACTTTTCCCACACCGGGATCCTTTCCAGTTCCACCAAAAGTTAACATCATTTTTAGAATCATGAATGAGATTTACTCTGCAATAATTTCTAACACGACAGATTTACACTTAAATATATGCTCCTTTTGTATCTCAGACTCAGACATCTTTTATGTTCCTGCACTATAATTCAAATATCTCGGGATGCTTTCCCCGGTATTGTTTGAGCAAAACACTCCGGTCTTAACATATGATAATATAAAATGTGTCCTTCAATTTGAAACTAATTAATTATAAACAATTATTTCATCCACTAATGTTGCTTCCTCAAAATGTCTCCAGTATTTGTTGGTTTCTTAATGACATGTAACTGTACAATAAATCAATTAAATACAAAAGTAAAAAGCCCAACCCTTTTACCAACTTCTACACACCTTATTTCCTCGTTGACCACTTGTGTTTTGTTTTGTATAATGCCCTCACTTTGAATTCATGTTATGAACACTAATGTGATGTGCCTTTTCTGATGTCTTTAAAAACAAGTGTTCAATAAAATTGGCTGAAATAAAACTGGCCGGGATCATTGTTAATATAACTACCGGTTCACCCCCTTCAGAATAAAAGCTTAGATCTCTAAAAAATACAATAAAATAATAAAAGTAAAACAGTGTCTGTTAAACAGATTAAAATACCTGGTTGAGGTTCCTTTCTGGGGTCAGGGCCTGCATAAACCACCACGTTGCGTTTAAATTCTGCATGAAGCTTGTCCGACATGCTCTTCCTCTTTCTTCCCTTGAAATGATCATACTCCCAGGCGTGTTTGGCTAAGTAATGCCGCTTCATGGTAATGTCATTAAATAACACCCTCTGACTGCAGATGAGGCACGTTGCAGTCTCAGTCAGATCCGTGAAGAAGTACTCCATGGCCAATGCCTCCTCAACTTTCTGTTTCACCGGAGGACTCACGTTACTTTCCACGCTAGAAGAAGACATCTTGCTTAATGGAGGTTTGCCGTCAACACAGTGGCTACTTGAGAGTAGCTGTGTTGTTGTGTAACCTCCCAAACTGATGTATTGCGTGAGGTTGCTGATCGGTTAAAGGTGTATGGTCCACATTGCTTTGAACTTCCGGGGTTGTGCTTTTCTCCCCGCCGAGAAATCCACGCACCTCGCGGAAGCGCGCACAGCGTAACAAATAGATGCCACTTCCGCCGGCTTCTTGAGTCCAATACAACTATGATTTATAACCACTTCAGATCAGAGAGATGTTTGACTATGGGAGAACCCCAAAACAAGATATTGTACCATTCTTAACCGTATCAACACTGTTTACCCTCTTGTGGAAATGTGTGAGCAAGTGTATGTGAAGTATATCCTTTTACCATTTATTTTTATTATATATATTTTAACTTTTAATTAGATTCCATATTTGAATATTAAATTAAAACATTCGAGGGAGACTTTGCTTAATGGCGGCTTATTTAATTAAAAAATTCAAACACTAAATGCAAATATAAATGTAACTGACATTCAAAGCTAATAGTCTTGTGCAATGTGCATGTTGTTTTATAAGACAACTATTAGAGATGTTTTACTGTGTTAAAAGAAAATGGAAAAAACACTCATGTCACTACCTTCTTTTATTTGGTTTCATGCTTTATTCAGCACAAAGGAGGCTCTTCATTTACCCCCCAGAGATGGGAGAAGTACTCTGATCTTGTAGTTGAGTAAAAGTAGAAGTACCAGAGTGGAAGGAATACCCTGTTACAAGTAAAAGTCCTGCATTCAAACATTTACTTAAGTAAATGTACAAAAGTATTAAATATACTTAAAGTACCAAAAATAAAAGTACTCATAATACAGATTGGCCCATTTCAGAATAATACATATCCAGGGTATATGCAGGAATCCTGAAGTCAAATTTAATACCTTTTAAGACCTTTTTTAAGACCCTTTCCATACATTTTAAGACCTCATCGCAACTTTGAGTTCTAACCGGTTACATTGGCGACACACTTTACCTCACATTTACTGTATTGATTGTAAGATACAGGGTTCTTACACCTTTTCCAAAGTCAAATTCAAGCACTTTTCAAGCATTTTCAAGGTGCATTTTCAAGCTTTTCAAGCAGCGTACAGCTGTTGTAAATTACATATTTATATGCACATACTTATACTCAAATGATTATTTCCCTACCTCACATTAAATCAGATGTTCTTTATGCTATAAACAACCAAATGTGTGTTTCGTAATAGCATTCTACATAAGGATGAAAAATTAAAGATAAGAAAACAAAGTTTAATATTGTAAAATGAGTGACCCATATCATATATAGTAGACTGGGCATCTCATATAACCTGGCTGAGCCAATATAAAACAATCAGCCAACTAACTTTTCAATAAATTCTTTATTAACGTAGAGGGTTTCCGAATTGTGATAATTCACTCCAAGTTGGTCATTTTTGGAAGGAATAAGAGACATGCGGCTTTATTTCGGACTTACCGCTCTGTGTCTTTTTGGGAATATTACGTTCTTTTGGGAATGTCTACTTTTATAATACTACTTATCGAGTTACCCGCAGCATTAATAAATTGCTCAGTTCTGGTTAACCTCCAGACAGGTGAAAGTCAAATTATAATGTTTTCTGTAAAATTTGACTAGTTAGTGTAATTCCGGGCTTTATAACGGCACCCGATACTACAACTACTGTTAGGATGCCCTACGCGTACTAGTAAGTTTCTTTTGCAGCTGTTGTTGCATGTTACAAACTCCCAGTCCCACTGAATTTAAATCGTTAATTCTACTACTGTCGTTGGTAGATTAAATCGATTTACGCGCAGACTCATTTGGTGTGTGATCCCATTGAGCATTGTATACCAACTGTTCTATATGGATAGGACAGGTTAGTTTTTACAATTAGTCGTACTAGCGTCCTGAATCTGATACGACTTTACGTGTTAGTATGTGAGATGTTACCTATCACGCAACGTACCGCAAGTTTAGGGTGAAGACTGTCACTAAGAAACTGATGATTACACTTGTCCCGACATACAAAATAATTATAGTATTGGCGCTGTTTAAGACACGCAAAAACGGATTGAAATTAAATTTTTGTCCTAAAATCAGTTAAGCGAATAGATGTATATTAAGATACAGTCATCGTAAGGTACTAGGAAAGTAACATTTTACGGTGAAATAAGATTCCATATACTTAGCATAGTCGCCGTCTCAAGCAGACCCACGCAACTTAGGAACTTTTACGAAACTTAGATAATCGCTTTCCACGGAAAGGACTAACTTTCTTCACGCAGACCTAAAACCCTTACCACTGAACCTAAACTCTATTTCACGAACTTTAACATTCTACGGAAATGAAAATGTTTATTTAACCGACAGACGACTTATCAAGCGAGAAAATATGCTCAAGTCTTTGGAGTGCTGCAGCCGCTCAATCAGAAGGAGAGTCGTGATGTTCTGGTCCGATGGCGAAGGCCAAGAAAGGACGCTCCGATGACCGCGCCTGAAGACCAGTAGGTGTGCGCTGAACGCGCTCACAAGCATAACACCACACATGGACCGGTTAGTTTAGCTCTCTTAGCTTCATACGGTCCTCCACACGACAAAATTTGCTCGCAAAACCGATAGGCGTTTTTCTTATTGTGTCGACACCGACTCCGAGGTGGTTGTCTAAGCGTGAAAGACGTTGTAACGGTGTTCTTAAAGTTAATAAGTGTCGAGCCTTGATGTATGTCCTTCTTGTTTTATTTCCATGCGGGTTTCTGTATTTACTGCTATTCGATGTCTATGTGTAATGTTCTATTCGATCATTTTTTGTTCGTTGTTCTCTATTTTAACTAATTACTCTGTTTTTTCTGTGTGTACAGTTGTGTGTGTAGGACACCAAAGTCTCCTACTTTTTGTAATTTCTCTTAATGTCACGGATTAACGAGGTTTTTTGTTTAGTCTAGTGAACTGGTTTTTTTTTTTCTTTTTTTTTTTTTTTTACTTTTGTTTTTTTTGCGCTCGCTATCACTAGAATGTATTAGCTCAACTTATTTGTCTTAGTAACCCAAACCTGCTACGTAATAATTGGATACTGAGATGATGTTATGACCTCTTTCTTTATATGTATACAGAAACTCTAAAGATTAATAGGAATGATTATCCTTCCTCTCCTACTCCGCGCACCGGCTCACCCTATCTCAACAGATCAACGAGAGTGAAAATTGAAATCTGCAGCATATAACAATATACGAAAAAAGTCTATTGGTTGCTATAGAAAGGGTCAATTAACAAGCACGCTGAGAAAGAGAGATCCACTGATGTTCGTGTCGTGTACGTCGGACCAAACTCCTTTGCTAAACACTACCGTTCATTATAGTCTCCGTTTTATTCCGAAAAACGACGCGCGTATCAACTATTCGGAGCGCTAGCTGGCTGCAAAATTGATGCCATAAGGCAAGGCAAAGCAGTCTCTATACCCATTTTGCGGGCAACATGATATCGTAAGTTCACTCTTATTGTTAGGACTCTCATAAGATCACCGCTATTTTGTTCGATAACATCGTATAAGTTGTTTAGCGTTCTTGAAAACCTAAAGTAAGAGAGTCATGGTAGTTTAGAACCTTTGTTCTGACATTGCCTGGGACGGCACAATAGATACTAATGATTATGCGGTATTGTAAGGTATTACAGTCGCCCTTCCCTCCCCCCTCGTAGCGGATGCATTTTGTTAATCACGCTCCCTCTCGACAGAGTAAAGGGAAATGTTCGGAGAGTTTGTACATAAGATAACCCTCTAAAAACCGTTATTTC